TTAGAGCACAAGGGACGCTAGCCCTTGATGTCATTGCAAAATATAATCGCGCTCAGCACATTCCTGCAAAATCTAATCGTTTGTAGCATGGCGTGGCAGATCTAACCTCAAGTCCTCAAATTGTACTTGTTAGAAGTTAATAATTATTGTTAGTGTTGTGTGTTTCCATTATGGATAATTTAATTCAACTTATTAATCTATTGTGTAACAATGAAAATGTTGATAGGTCAGGTCTGTTTGTACAGAAATCACAAACCAGTCAGAGCGAATTTCATTGGTTGAAAGCAGTCAGAAAACTAAATTCAACCAATGAAAAAAATGATTTCTGAAGAGTGCGATTCCGACGACTTCAACTTGCGTTGCAATGAGTGGGAGAATGAATTTTCAATAATAACAAAGAAACAATGGATAGTGAAAAAAACTTTGCCAAAACTGCATAGATTATTGGTTCGTAAACAATACGTGTGCCATCACAACAGCACTTTTTCAATCGATTTGTTTATATGAATCAGCCACATGTGCTGTCAACGATTAGATTTTGCAGGATTGTGCTGAGCGCGATTATATTTTGCAATCCTAGCGTCTCTTGTGCTCTAATAGTTTATATTTAGTGAAATCGCGCTGAGGCCGATTATATTTTGCAATGACGAAATTGAGGGCGTGTCTTGTGCTGTAATAGTTTATATTTAGTAAAATCGCGACCGGGCAATAGCCACATACTGAGATTATTTAGCAAGACTTAGGGTCTAAAGCTAAAATGATCTATTGATTACTTGCAATGGTTATAAGACCCATAGTCACTCACGCTGCATTTGGGGGCCAAAAGTAAAACAACAAACAGTGCAAAACCGATTGGCAAAAAAAGGTATGCATGTCTTGAAATTACAGGAGCAATGAATACCTGTCCAACCGCCGCATTGGAGGTCATTTCTGGCCTCCCTCAACTAGATACAATAGTGAGGAAAGAGGCCTATATACACGTGAGAGCTTCGAGAATAATGCATTCCCTAAAACTAAAGGAAGGGGGCTTTGTCGGTCACATGAGGATTATGAAAGAATAATGCATAAATGTGAAGACAAAATCAGTTGAGTACATGCAACAAAGGTATAAATTTAAACACTCCTTCAAAGTGACTATTGAGGGCCGCAAGGGGAAAAATATCGTAGGTACCTGTATTCCCGAACGGGTCGTCTGGTAAACATACGGATCGAAAACAGAGCAAGGGACTGGAGCAGGTATAGGACCCACTTTGTAGACTATCAATAGCCTTAGGAGAAAGCCCAACCATATTTCAAGCGGAAATATTGACAATAGAAATTTGCACTAGAAAGTGTTTCGAAATAGACCTGCGAAGAGCGGAGATCAATATCAATTCCGACAGTCAGGCAGCACTAAGAGCTTTGTCACGAAGTCCAGACCGATAAATATGGAACTGCCAACAACTCCTGAATCGACTGGCGTCTCGCAATAGAGTCACCCTGTCATGGGTATCAGGTTTCCCAAAGCAAAGTCGAGCGTACCAACTTGCAAGACAAGGGCGTGCAATACCATTCCTTGAACCAGAACCTTTCTTTGGCATTACGAAATGCCATATTATAATAGAGGAAGTCCGGAGTTGAGTAAAGGTTCAACAAGACTCCGATAGGCGATACAATAATTCCTCTCCCCCCGGTAAATAAAGGCAAAGGAAATTATTGACAGCAATAAAGCGAATCTAAGGCTACTTACAGGCCTCCTTACGGGGCGGGGCACTGCTTTCTGAGTTACCACCTGAAAAAGATGAGCAAAAACAGAATCAGACCTGTGCCGCTTTTGTGAAGCCTCTGTGTCTGCGGAACAAATACTTTGTAACTGTGAGGCATTGCGCCACATAAGACTCATCCATCTGGAGCAGCCCTATGCTTAACTGCTGTGGATTTGAAAAAAGCCAATCCCAGGAACATTATAGGCTTTGCCAAAAGCCTTAAGCTGGGAACACACTATATGAGGGGAAGCACAATAGATCTACTCAGGTCGCAGCGCGAAGAGGTCCATAGTCTGAACATTCCAACCATAACAATCTAGTTTTTTTAATAGTCTCATACTGAGACAGGGCAATATTAGTCAGCAGACCCTAAGAATTATTGACGCTGAGGTCGTATGCTTCAAGAGCAAATTTACTCCAAAATCACCTAGTTGATGGTCTTTGTCCTTACAAACCTATAATGTGAGAATTGAGAATACGCCCAGAGAGAGAAATCTACCTAGTGATTGACACTTCATTCCGGTCACAACTAAAGCCTACTCGGTCCGAAATAGACGAAGTTTTCGTAGACATGCCTAGAAAGAAAATATCAGAACAAAGCAAAACTTTGGCAATTATTATAGAAAAATGCAGATATTTGAAGGACAATATCCTGTTCTGCATGACTAGATCCAGAATCTTCCAATTGTGTTGTTATGTTGCAGATATGTCTTGTTTTATGTTTTTCTTTTTTAGGTATATTTAGATTCAATAATTTGGAATGATTTCTGCTAATTTTATTTCTGACCCACACCTAAGTGAATTGTTTTTTGTTTTTGATCCTCCAGTTGTTGACAGCAATTATTTTGGATTTGAATACTTTCCAAGAAATGGCTTATAGTTAGGTACAGATCAAAAAATTATTTTTAGATTCTAATGATCTTGCTGCAAATTTTCTTGGAAACCAAGATTCTTTCTTGTGCGTGGAATTACATGGTTTAGGTTGGCTTAAGTCTTCAATATTCACCGTGTCAGTATCAATAATAATTATTAATCTAGATGGCAAATTAGCGGTATGAAAGTTGAAAAAAGGAATAATGGCCGTTTCCACCAACTATTTTAGGGAAGCTCTAATGATAAGTATTCCTTAAATTGACTTTTCTCCATGTAAAAATGTCATTTTAGGGAATAGGGCCACCCTAAAATAGTTGGTTGAAACGGCCATAAGAAGATCTTTGAATAATTTATGTTTCGCGAGTTTTTCCCAAAAATTAAGGTAGGTAGGTACTTACTACGATTATATCTAATACCCTAACACAGATAAGCAAATATACACCACAAGAACACAGAAAGTATTGAAAATTGAAGGTTGAAAGGAAATGTACATCTGAAGCTTCAAAACGTTACAAATTCTACAAAAAAAAAAAAAACTGACAAACTACCGGAAGCTATATAGAACTGATTGCTGCTTCCAAAAAAACAGAAATCAAACGCATCCTATTAATTTATAACATTTTGAAGCCCATTGCGTCTGGAAAAAAGAAACTAACAACAAATTTATAACACATTTATTAAAAGATGAAAAACAAAATATACAATTACAAGCATCTTATATAAACAACAGCCCAAAAAATGCTATAAACTGAGGAATAATAAACTAAAAACTAAAAAGGAAAAGCAAAAATTAAAAAAAATACCAGTTCTATATAACTTCGGTTATTGCCGAATGAATGGAAAATACATTTTGTTGTATGTTGTTCACATTCAAATGAATGGAGTATTTCACTAACATAAATGCCAAAAATGCAGAAAGAAAATCAGAGAATGTATAAACAAAGGAATAAAAATAGCGGATAAAGCTTCTAGTTTCAAAGTGATGGAAAAACTATCCATGTTTCGTAAGTTTAATTATTTAGAGTGGATGTGGAATCCTAATAATAAACCCAAATAGTTGGCAACAACGACTTACACAGGATGAGTACCGACAGTTATATTACCTATCATATAAAGGGAGAGTGTTAAAAAAAATAGTTTTGAATAATGGTATAAAGTTTGAGTATTCCAAAACATATTCCAAAAAGCATTTCAAATTTAGTTTTAATCATTTTACACAAAGTATTCCTCAGAAAGTTGCCGTTTATATGGATATTCACTCACTTATGATGCACCCTTTATAAAGTAAATTATTGCTGTCTTAAGCTATTTTTTTTTATATAATAAGGTAATCAACAATCCAAAATTATTGGTATCAAAATTACATAAGGTATTCTCGGCTAAATGTAGCAAATGGAACCTAAAAAACATGGAAATAGACGAAAATTTGGAAAAACCACAAAATTCAAAGCAACAAATTTTACAGAGCGATGCAGGAAACAAGTGTATTAAAATGATGAAGAGGTATTAACGGTTCAGGATTAGGAAAAACGATCCCTTTTCAAAAAATTATGCCAACTTTTCAACCATGTATTAGGTTTTTTTTAAGGGAATCGTGCTAACACTATTCTGATAATTTATAGTTTTTTACATTATTTTTTATGTCTTGAAAGGAAATTTTTCTCTATATTTGGACACCCCATCATAGACCTACATTCTACATTGGCATACCTTTTTGAAAAAGAATATTTTAACTTTTATATTCCTTAAGCCTGTTAATATCGCTTCAAGTTAACAACAATAAGAATGGCTGATAAAATATAAAAGTGGAAAATCCCTTCTTACTTTAAAAATAGGTAATGGATAAGTTCCTTATTTTATTACTAAGTAACATTTGGATAGAAATAGAGTTCGCATTTCGAAACACATATTTACAAGTCACAGTTTTATCACAATTATCTAGAAAGAGGTAAAAACGCTTATTATGTCTGTTTCTATCCGGCCAATCAAAATGTGAGCAAAGTAAAATATTATTTTGATGTGGTGATATGGAGTGGCAATAATATGGAAGATCTAGTCAATATGCATAGGCTAAAATAGCTAGATCGAGAAAATCAAAAACTTCGAAAATGTGACGTTGGAAACCGATCCTGACGATGTGTTTTTGTGACGTCAGATTAAGATAGGTTTTGAATATTTTTAGGATGTTAAAATACTCGTTTTACTATGGAATAAAAAAAAATAAGCTTATCAGTAACCTCATAAGCTGTGACGTGTATATGAGATTTCTGAATACAAACTATATTTTACTAAAACTATCCAATTGTTTTATCCCTCGACAACATATTCTTCAGTCTCCTCCATGGAAAAGCTTTCTGAGGATTCAAATTTAGATGTAAATACCTGTTTGTTGGCCGATACGGTGCTGGTTTCTTGTTGCATCACATTCTTGCTCGACTCAGTTTTTTGGGTGCGGTTGTCTTCGACTAAGGAGGTATTTTCTTGGCCCTCGAAGGTAGCGGTTTTCTGGTGCATTTTTGAGTGGCCTAGATCCTTTTCAATCTAGTAAAAATAATAGTTGACAATTAGTATGTGATGTGGCATTTTAATAATAGAGGCTTCAGGACTAACTCGAAGCAAGACAAAATGTATGGAATGTATTTTGCAATGACCCGGGAAAATATACTGTAATTTACAATGTCTGTACTGTGAAAAAATTAAATGTAATCAAATAATCAAAAACTGAATCTCTAATAATTAACGTCAGTATCAATAAATTGAAAATGAAACCAATAAAAATTGACCCAAATTAATTAAAATATCTAAAAAATGTTAATTTTTTATTATTTAGTCATCATCTAAATCAAATCCATATATATTAAAAGCGAGGCCAAAGTAATTAAATAGGTGATTTATGGCCACACGTGTGTCGGTATTCTTTGAGTTATATGTCCAATTCTTACAACCAAAACTGTTGACCCCGATAAACCAGGATTTTTAACAAATAAAAACCCGGAAGAGATCAATTACAAGGTTAAACACCTAATTAAATTGGACCCAAAATGACAAAAATTTCGAACAGATTGCATCATCCTCTAAAAAAAATGATGAAATTAGTTTTTGGAATAATATCTAGAGTAGTACAGCAACAGGGGTATGACTACAAAAATCCGACCATAACCTCAATCTTTCATTCTTGACACGTGGTGGATGCGCCGCCGTTGACACGAAGGTGGATGCATCGTCGGCGCCATCTTGTCAAACGTCATGGCGCCATCTAGCGTACATAGTGTGAAGTTCGTAATACAGGATGCTGTAGTTGGGACCCGTAGGGCTGCGCCCCCCAAAAGGGGGCCCGCAGGGCTCCGCCCCCCAAAAAGGGGCCCCCGGATTTTAATATGGGTACCAGAAAAAGGGGTGGGGGGAAATGTTTTCCCGCCATATTGTCAACCGTCACCTGTCAAACGTCATCTGTCAAACGTCACCTGTCAAACGTCATCTGTCAAACGTCATGACGTCATAGCGGGAGTTTTGAGTCGTTCCGGGTTGTGTGATGACGTCATAGCGCCCTGGGTCACGTCCGTGGAGTCATTTAGAGTACATAGTGCAAAGTTTGATTCATGGTTCGGGTTCTGATGACGTCATAGCGACCTGGGTCACGTCCGTGGAGTCATTTAGAGTACATAGTGCAAAGTTTGATTCAGGGTTCAGGTTCTGTGATGACGTCATAGCGACCTGGGTCACGTTCGTGGCGCCATTTAGAGTACATAGTGCGAAGTTCGTTTCATGGTTCTGTGATGACGTCATAGCGACCTGGGTCACGTGGGTTACGTCAGTGCGGGTCCGTGGCGCCATTTAGAGTACATAGTGCAAAGTTCGATTCATGGTTCGGGTTCTGTGATGACGTCATAGCGACCTGGGTCACGTCCGTGGCGCCATTTAGAGCACATGTGTCAAGTTTGATGTGTCTTATAACAGGATGCTGTGGTGGTGACGTAACTATGAGGGTCCAGCAGCTAGCTTCATGTTGTACCTGGTAGAGGGTGTTCGAACTTAAGGATGATACACACCTACAGTATTGCTCATTGACCTCGTGTGCTACCATTTACGACGCCATAACTAAGTCATCAGCTGTTTAAACAACCTACGTCAAGGCGAGAAATAACATGCTGCTTACGTCACAACTGGTGATTTAACGTTGGGGAGAGAGTGGATTTGTTCCACACAGGCCTTATGAGGATAGGCTATCCTGTAGTAGTAGTGTGTATTATCCTTGGTTGGAACCAACGTTTGATGGGAAAGAGGCCTCGTTTTTTTATTAAAAACATACATTTTTTAAGACAACGATTTCAAAAAGCGAATATTTTTCATCAATAAACTGCTTAATATGATCCAATCATTTTGGTGGTACGTCTTGGGAGAAACACTGCGTTATCGTCAAATTCGATGAGTATTTCAAATCCATAGCTAAAAATATGCCACATCAATTGTATCGATTACCTAAGTATATAAGATATTTACTTACTAGGTTAAAATAATAATTTCTGTACAATAGTTTTATGATCTACCTTAATTTGTATAGTTTATTGGTTCCAGTAAAGATTTGCAATTATTTTGAGGTCTCTATCGTAGAAAATATTGGGAACTTTCACTTTATACCAGGTCTTATAATTTTCTCAGTGTTTTTGATCCTTTGTTATAAAAAGACAGGCCTTGTTGATTGATTTCAAATCCATATCTAAAATATTCCATAATTCTATCGATATCGATATTCACTTACTTGGTTAAAATGATAATTGTTGTGCAATAATTTTATTGTTGTTGACGAGTCTCAAACAAGACTGAAAGAGCTTAATTATTATAAAATCCGATTCAAACTTCGAATTAACAACATAACATACAAAAAACGCTGTCAAAATATTGGAAATTTCACTTTCTATGAGGCTTCAGGTCTTGTAATTTTCTCAGTGTTTTCAATCCTTTGCTATAAAAAACAGGTCTTGTTGTTGATTGATATTAGTATATAAGATATTTACTTACTTGGTTAAAATCAAATTAATTGTTGTACAATAATTTTATATTTTCCACTGGTGACGAGGTTGAGCAAACTGAAAGAAGCTTGTTATTATAAAATCCGATTTAAACTTCGAAGTATCACATACAAAAAACACCGCTAAATGCAAACGCTTAATCGGCAGTTTTTTTATCTGAATTATATCAGGACCATTCGCAGAAGCCGCCCGCGAAAAACAACAACACATTTTAAAGATAATTTTTTAGTTTAAGGCGTAATTATTAAGTTAGATAGGTATTAATATGTCCATTTTTATTTTAAAAGGTGACAAATTCAAACAATTTATCAAAATTTAAAAGAATAGATTTAAATTAGCATCGTTGACATTTTATGAGCCAATACCCTATGCAATACAAAATTTCAGTGGATACATTGTTATTGTTACCTGTAAAAGATGAGGATTCAATTTTTATTCTTTGTACAAAAAACGCAGCATCCAGTACCAGTACTTTGAACCTGGATTTTCAAAGTTTGGTTTCTTGGGTGATAAGTGTCGGTTTCGAAAAACTGTAAGTACTATTTTTAAATATCTAAGTGATGTAGGATAAATCATGCCCTGAGACATATTTTAAATTAACACAAACCTCGATTATTGAATTATTTTTATTTTCCTTAACACATAAACATATTGTTTGTTTTTTAAAAATACAGACAACCCTGAGTACCTACCTATTTCTTAATTTAATTCCAATAGTTTTTTACGCAGCAACTTGAATTTACTTTTTCACTTACATTTGCACAAAACTCAAATTTCTTTTTCTAAAATTTAGGAAGGTTCTTTAACCAATTTAAACTGGTTTTATTTTTTCATTTACTTTAAAACAAACCTCCATAAACAGCGAATTTTTAATTTTGTGCACAAAATGGTTCACCAGGAAGGAGATAACCTGAAACGTCATGGGATTGCTAATCATCTTCCAAGATCTGTAACCAATGTGGTGTGATTTTTGAAGCAGAGGGGGCTATCCAACACCACCTAAACACCCAGCTCCAAGAGAGCCTCCAAACGAAAGGCTGGAGATCCCGCCGCCCCCATGATGAAGCAAGCTAGACTTTTGCTGGTAAGTTGACATTAAGCGAATTTTTTAAATATAATTCAATTATTTTCAGGACCTTCAATATCAGCCACATGTCGGTGGTGTGAGTATTGCGATTTGGAGGCACCGATAAATCAATGGGTTGGTCATCTTCGGTGTCTCTAGCACCGAGCCAACACCTGGTGAAGCAGGAGGAAGACGTTAGTCTTGTCAAAACATCTTTCAAGAACCGAATTGCAACATAGCGGCTTTCATCAAAGCAGGACCCTATCAGCGTGAAGCACGTTTTGAAATTAGCTGTGGCATACCTATCCAGTATTAGGACGGACGGAGGACTGAATGATTTTATGACACAATTACCAGGATAGCAGAAAATGCGTTTGCGAAAATATAATTTAGAGCAAACAGTTAAATAGCGCAAGGATATGAGAAAACTAACTTCGCACATTCTTGAGCAACCGACCCACCGAATTCAGCAAACATGCGTACACGTAAACGAGAAGAAGGGGTTTTAGAACTGGTTTTTCCTTCAACAAATCACGGTAACTATGGAATAACATAATAGAGGACTAAACTATGACACAACCACTTTCAAGTTGAAACTGGAAGTAGCCTATAAGGGGCCCAAATAGCCTCAGTAAAGTGCTAGAAAGATACCGGTTGCCACTACCACCCCCTGCTCATAAATAAATTTGGTCATTTGGGTTTTCAGGCATCCTGAACAAAAAGTTCACAGAATTCCAGGAAAAAGAAAGCGGTGTGTATCATTTCAATTGCAGTGTTATATACTAAACAATGTCTCTTACAGGCTGGACGCTCCAACAACTTTAAGCTCTAAATATAAGTATCAATAGGATCATAACCCTCTAAAAGCCTATTCATATCTGCCAGTACCAGGATAACCTGTAACGTCATGGGAGTTGCCGAACATCTGCAATCAATGTGGTGGAATTTTTAATTCATTTCATCCACAAATAACATGGGTTGAGGAAAAAAGTATGCGGAAATTTGGGATCTGTTTCTATTTAAATACTCAATATCTATTGAAAAAAAAAATATTCAAGGGTGACGATAAAGACGTATTTCATTTTTATGATTATGAATATTGCTACAATTTAGATGGTAGTCGCACTCACAGTCCTATTAACCATATTGGCAATGATTGTTGAGAATAAAAATAAGCTTTAGTATAAACTATGTTTTATTCTCCTGAGAATGACAGAGATGAAGCCAACATTGATCTCTGTATACCACCAACTCACAGTCAAATAGCGCCAGCACACACTTAACATATCCTACAACTTTTATTTATGTTCCAAAATTGTATCAAGATTATTTTCATTTCAATAATTTTTGAAAAGAAACTTCTTAAACGGCTTTCTGCTATTTGAACGACAATGGAGAGTGATTTGAAAAACGCGTCACGGGCAAATTTCGTTACTCGAGAGAGA